AACTTATTCACGATGTGTTTCACAAGAGCGGAAAGGTCCCTTTAAAATCAACTGCGCGGCGCTTTATTTTAGCCTAATTTCCCCAATAGATAGAGATGCACTTCACACGACGACAGAAAAAGTAAAACTTCTCCCAGATCTTGGACTAGAGCGGGAAGTCCAAAGGCTTGACTCTAGGGCAGCGGCAAAAAATTGTTTTACTCAACCAAAGAATTCGCTTTTATTAGTTACTCATTCAACGTTCTTATACTCATCGATCAAATACCAAAGCGAAATTATATGTAAAATTAAAGTTAGAGAAATGAGAATTAAAGAATAATCAAGTAAAGATGATCTAATAAAAAGAAAATAATTTAAGATTAAGGTTAAAACTTAGCTGCTAAAATATCCTCAGTGAAAGCCACTTTTAGGCATACACATTGAGACGAGTCACAAAAAGAAATGAAAATAGGTTGCACTGTACAATGTCACAGATAACAATGAAAGCGGCAAACATCAGCACAATCCACTTGATGTCAAACTTATACATAATCGCATTTATATTCACAATATATTTATATTATAACAGTATTTACGTAGCTCTACTTACTCATTCTCGTAAGAGATGACGATGCAGTCTTTAGATGATTCGAACTGCTCATTCATCGATCGGTTAAGCCTAATGAGATGCTTACGATTGATATCGATGGATTCTAAAGTGTACTGAGAGGTGTTGATTTTTGATTCAAGCATCTGGCTGGTGAGTCCGACTATCGACCACCTAAAATACCGAAAATAATTTAAGTAATGACAATTTTGGCGCAAGCAGTGATGAACTTCAAACTGGAAGGCTATACTGCCTGTGATCCTTACATCTCAGCAATGAGCACAATTTGCAGCATCTGTTTTGAAATGAAGCTTTATAATGTGGCTTGCATATCCATTTTTGTACCTCTCCTATCTTAAGGACAATGTTTACAGCGCGTAACCACTTGTTTCTCATTCCACAAAGAGGTACTCGTTTACCTATATCGAATGGATGAAAGGCAAGTGCATCGGCAAAGGTTGGTGCTGAACGATATTTGACTTTGACCCCAACATCTTACCAACTGAACAATCTCTGTCAAACGATAAACTGAGTCGACACAGGCATAAAGAACAATTGGCACAGCCTCGCTTTGGAACCCAGCTCGTTGAGCTTGTCCGGTAGCGGAGGATTGAGGCCGTTGCAAAAACCGTCAGAAGTCAGGTGAGTCCGTTATTACCGCCAATCAACTATCAAGTAGGTCAATTGACAGTTGCATTTCAGCCGCAAGATGCATGCATCAGACATCATGACCATGTATGTCTCGCAGCCTATGACCACGCTAGAATACAAACGTGCTGCCTCTTATTTGTAGGACAATTACCAGCTACCTGCTACTTTCCTTGCTACATCTAAGCATAGTAGGTTGACTTTCTTGCTCAAAGGAATTAGCAAGAATTGAGAAAATTGTCTGCTACGGTGGAACCCCCACCTAGCACTTTTTTCTAAGTGAAAATG